CACACCAGCCTACCTGAAGGGGGCCACTGGGGCCCGGCCTACCTAGCCTTGTAGGATTTCCGCCTTCAAGGATCAGCCCTCCCGCAGGGCCAGCACCCAATTCTCTGTGAACCAGGCTCTTCTCAGGGTCTCTGGGCTTTTTCTTCTTGACCTGGAGTGTCCATCAAGGTAACTCCATCCTGTGGTAATACTTCCCAGCCAGTTTCCCTGGCCAGGCTCACAAGAGTCCAGCTCCTTGCTCAAATCCTTGGGCCCAACTGCTTGCAGTCCCAACAGCCATGGGCTGGGAGGAGCAGTGGGCCAGTAGATTGCAGAAGGAAGGGAAAGCCAAGGGCCACTTGCTGAGAACCCTGCCCCCCACACACCTTTGCTCTAGTCCCAGGAAGATATGTTAGCAGACTTGGCCTCTCAATAGCATTGAACACAATTGACCGCTCAAATTCTCTCTGAAACGTCCCCTCTCTTCCTTAGGGTTCAAGATACAAGCAGTTTGCGGCTTCCTCCTCTCTGTAGATGCTATTTTTCTGTCTCTTGCTGCCTCATGCTACTTGATCCAGCGGTTACGGGAGATCCTCAGGGACCCGGCCCAGGTCCTCTACTCTTCCTGTGCTCTGTCTCAAGGACACTTGAGCAATCTCATCCTTTCCTCCAGTTTGTTGCTGACTCACAAGTTCATGTCTCTAGCTCAGCGCTAGGGCTTCCAACCGATGTATCCAAAGCATTATGTGCAAAACTGAACTCCTAGTTTTACGACCACACCAGGCTTTCTTTTATTTTTTTTTTATTTTTAAAAAATATGTTTTTATTGATTTTTAGAGAGAGAGAAAGGGAGAAGGATAGAGAGATAGAAACAACGATCAGAGAGAGAGATATCAACATTGATCTTCTGCTTCCTGCACACCCTACTAGGGATTGAGCCCACAACTTGGGCATGTGCCCTGACCAGGAATAGAACCATGACCTCTTGGTTCCTGGGTCAACGTTCAACCACTGAGCCACACAGGCAAGGCCAGGCTCTCTTCTAGTATGTTCTGTCTCAGCAGGCACCATGGGCACCCAGCTTTGCAAAACACAAGCCTGGCATTCAGCAGTGAGCCCTCACTTTCCCTCATCTTCATATTGAACTTGTCACCAGGTCCTGTCAATTTCACACCCTGGTTATCTCTCCGCTGGATCCACTTCTGACCATTACCTCTGTCACCAGCTCCACCTCTTTCCCTGGCCTACTGCAACCAGGCATATTGCCGGGCACATGCCAATTCTCGTCCCTTCAGTCTGCTCTTACCCAGCAGCCAGGCTCCTCTTCATAATATGGAGCACGTCTGGAACCCTCCAGCAGCTTCCCAGTGCTCTGAGGAGGAAGATGTTAACCTGGCTCTGTGCTCCTTTCTTCCTCTAGTCCAAGCCACGCCAGCACTGCCACCTGCCACCACGCCGCTTTGGCATATGTTCCTGCCTTTGCCTGAGAAGCTTCCTCCTCCTCTTCCCCCCTCCTCACCCAGCCTTGCCTGCACATCCTCTGGATCTCAACTCAAACATCAGTTCCTCAGGGAAGCCTTGGCCCACGTCTTCCTTTAGATGATCTTATCAGATGGACGTCTTTCACCAGGGACCACTCATGTTTGTCATATGTTTATATGCTTTCACGTGGTTAACTGCTCCCTCTCCCCTGTGAGCTCCCTGAGGGCAGGCGCTGTGTTTCTCTTGCTCATTTATAGCCGACTTTCTGGGCAGCTCTAGAGAACAGAGCCCGAGCTGCCAGCAGAGCCCCCGGGGTTAGTCCTGTAGCTCTGGCCCCGGAACCGGTGCACTGGGTACCCAGCAGAGGCCGACATGGAGCCTTGAGCAACTCAACCCTGGGACCTTGCAAACAGGCTCGAAGCTGATTGTTCCTGAGGCAAGTGAGTGATGGCAAGAAAAATGGCAAGAGATAGATCTGAGCACCATGCCCAGCAGGAATCCTGGTGGAAATGTCTAGGAATGGTAGCCCTGGTGCCTCCACTCTGTATCCAGCAGTGAGTTTAGAGCCCAGAGCCAGTAGAAACAGGTGACAAAGCCAAATGGGTGTGGCCACACGATCTTGGGCCCAATCTAGACGTGCAGTAACCATTTCCCTGAGGGACAGAACTTAAGATGTTATCTGGATGTGATTTGCCTTGGAGCAGGAGTTGGGAGGGCGCTGCTTCCTCAGAACCAGGCTAAGAGAAGGGGTTGTGAGTATCTGGGCGGAGATGGGGGACTCTGGCGAGACAGCCTGGGCTCTCAGGAGGCTGGGGGTGCCAGGAGTTATCACATGAATGCAGTGAGTGAATACTGGGTGTAGGATTATAAGGAGAAGGCAGAACCACTCACTGAGACCGATGACACCCAGCCTGGTGGGGAGGCGAACTCAACAAAGCACCTCCGTGAATATAATGGGCGCCTTGTAAAGGTCACTATCGACTTAGACAGGAATCTGCTCCTCACCCATTGGGATGGCTCTTGTCAGAAGTCCAGACACCATTCCGGCCTCCAGAGCTGGTCAGCAGTCACTCCTTGGGGTCTGTCCCCCAGGACCATAAATGTCCCCTTTCTGTCTTACGGAACTGGCCACCGTGTGCCCTCCGTCTGCAGCCTGCCCTACCCTCTCCTCATGTATGGCCATGCTCCCTATGGCTGACTGTGGCCCCCTGGAGATAGTCCCGGCTGCCAGGAGCCCTCCACACCTGCCTGATGGCACTGGAAAAGCATTTCATGCAAAAAATGGATTTGTATGTATGAAGGGATGGTCCGTACCCATCACATGCAGGGCTTGGCATGTCCTAATTGGACCTGGGGGGGGGGGTGTCAGGGGAGGCAAGGGGACAGGGAGCTGTAACCAGGTGAAGCCAAGATTGATAAAGGGGAGAAAATGATGGTGCAGAAGCAGTGGCTGATCGCTGCCAGCCTGCTTTCCCCCACAGGGGCACCATGGCAGCAAGGTTGTGAAGGTGCCAGTGGTGACGAGCGCAATAGTAACACTGTCCCTGTGACAGAGTGCAGCTTCTAGGCACTTAACACCTGTGAACTCACTTAACCTTCCCAGGAACCCTGTGGAGAAGGGACTGTTTTACAATGAGGAAACTGAGGCACAGGGAGGGCAAGTGTCTTGCCCAAGGTCACACAGCAAGTGAGTGGCACAGGCTGGTGTGGCTAGACTCACCCAGCATCTGGGCCTGGCCCTCAGGAGGTGACTGGGCCTTGTCATCCATACAGCCGGACCTGGAAATGTGACTCTGGGTCAGCTGAACACCTGCCCTTAGGATCTGGGTCATAGAGAGGCTGTCATCCTTGGGACGTCACAGGGTGATGACAGATCAGGATGCTTTTGCCAAGGGAGTGACAAGTTCTCAACTTCCAGGAGGCAGGGCTTTGAGCAGTAGCAGCAGGACACACCTCCCTGAGCCTCGGTGGACGCAGCCCCGGCAGCTCCAGCAGCCCTGCGGAGTCTCCGGGATAGAAAGGCAGAGGGGCAGAGGGGCAGAGGGCTACTAAGGGGCCAAACCTGAAAGTCCCAGGCTGGGGCTGGGCGTCCAGTTGTCCCCCACACACTGTGTACATGGTTTAAAAGGTATAATCATGCCTCCTATCTCACATTTCCTCCTTTCTGTAGTATCTTCATTTCTAAAAAAACTTTCATTTCATTTTTCCACCACCATTTATCTTCCCATATGTAGTATTTTCCATTGCATATAGGGAAATACATCATCTGAAATCATCTATAATAATAAAAGCATAAATATGCTAATTAGACTAGATGAACCACAGCTGTGAGGTTCGAGCCCCTTGCATGAATTTCATGCATCCAGCCTCTAGCATAATATGATTGGAAAACACATCAGTTATGTATAAATTATTTATCTCCATCTTCGAGGGTTAGCTCTATGATGTCAGCACAACCTCAGTTCACCAGTGACACCTGCAATGATCCTACTGCCAAGGTTCTGTACTTGATGTTACTCCTGACCTACAGTCTGCCCATATGTAACAGGTGCTCAGTTGGTCTAATTTAAATCCCACTTATCTAAATGTGTGGGTGTCACTCAGGGACGCCCTCAGCCGGGATGAGCAGTGAGCACCAGCCGAGCCCAGGGGAGGAAGGCCCTACCCCCTTGACTTGTCTCTGGTGACACAGACAGAGCCAAGGGCATCTCGGTGCTCCCGGGCTCAAAGCCCTCGTGGTGCCCGGTGGCACGCTGGGCCACCTTCAAGGGGGCGCTGAGTTTGTCATTACGTTGTTTCTGAAAGATTGGTTTGAGTCTACATTTTCTGTCTGCACTAACAGCCAAAGTAGAAGGATATCCAACAACAAACTAACAACCCTTTTAGCTATTGGTATGTGTCACATTGTGTCCCCAAATTCATTTATTGAAATCCTGACCTCTAGCACCTCGGAAGGCGGCCCTACTTGGCAATAGGATCATTGCAGGTGTCACTGGTGAGCTGAGGTTGTGCTGGAGTGGCTGCCTGTATGTGCACCATCACCAGGGTCCTCATGCAGAGGGGCACAGGGATGCACATCAGGAGTCTGATGCTTGGTTACAAAGGCCGTGCCCCTGCAAGCCAGGGAATGCCACGCCCAGTGAATGGCTCTTACTAATGGCCAGCCTGTGGTCTGGGCAAGCCTCCCCGCCCCACTACCTTTATCTGCAAGTTTCCATTCATCACAGCTTACCTTATATGTAGGAAACTGAATTTTAACCACCTGCTTATTCATACCTGCGGGGGAAGCAAATAAAGAGTGGAAATTCTTTCTTCTGGTTGTGTGGGGAAACTGAGTCCCAGAAAGGTTTGGTGCCCAGTTCAAGGCAGTGAGCCGGGACGGTGGCAGAGGCAGGGGCAGGGGCAGCCGTCTGCGGAGGTGGCTGAAGGCTGTAGCTACCTCTTCCTCACTTGCCGTTTACTCTGAACACCCAGTGAGTGGCCATGGTGATGCGACCCCCTGTTTTATATCTAACCCCTTGGGGGCGTGTGCAGGGTTCCCGAGACAGACAGCAAATGTGCACTTGGTCCTTCCGGAAAACCCAGGGCCAGGTAAACACGTCTGACTTTTGCTTTTGCCTGGAGTTGCCTTTGGGCCACGCCCCGTGTAGCACAGAAGAGCCCACAGCCCCTCTCGGCCTCGGCCCCCTCTGTCATCCCGGCCTCTTCGCTCTCTGCCGTGAGCCTCATGGGAGGAGGCGCAGGTCCTTGGTCTGCAGAGCAGAGAATCTACAAGGCACATCCCACTTCTCTGGCTAATACTGACTCACTCTTGGGACACATTTCAAAGCCTCTTTATATCAGTAAACTATCTTTCTTCCACGCCTTTCACACACACCCTCCAGGCCCACCTGAAAGAGCGGGGCAGAGAGGGAAGGCAGTGAGCACCCCACCCCACCACACGAGCTGGAGAAACCGTGTCCCGAAACCTCGCAGGGCTTGGCGGGGATGCAAGAGTCAGAGAGTAAGAAGACCCAGCAGGCCTCTGCCAGCCCCCAGGCTCCATGCTCCTGGTCCCCAGACATGGCAAAGCGGGCCCCAGGCGGGCACCCTGACTCCTCCCGTGCCCGTAACGTGCTTGGCCCCGGTCCATAAACCGTGATGTCAGGATCATTGCTGAGCCGTGAAACAGTTAAGAAACATCCTGCCCCACTGGCTGCCGCGCTCACAAAGGTAGATCCACGTGTACTTCCTTGTGGCTCCAGAGGGAGGCTCGCTCATTTGCCCACACCCAGCGGGGAGAGAGGCAGGCGGCAGCAGGCCGGACCGCCACCCTCCCATGCAAATCAGGCCCGGCTGTGCCACCGGGCTCCGGGGCCATGCTGCTGGGGGCGCCCTGGGGAAGATGCAGCCCCGGGCGCTGTGCGCTCCTCCTCGTCCTGGCCCTCCTGCTCGACGCCCTGGGCCTGGTGCTCTTGCTCGTGGGCATCTTGGCGGCTCTGGATTACTGGGACTTCCTGATCTACTCGGGGTCCCTGATCCTGCTTTTCAGCCTCCTGTTCTGGATCATCTGGTACTCCGTCAACATCGGGCTGCCTCTTGAGAAGCTGGACTTGTAGTTCACCTGTCGCCGGAGGAGAGGAGACACAGGCTTCCTCTGGGACTGCTGGCAGTTGGAGAAGCAGGGACTTGCAGCTCCCACCCAAAATGCCCTCCCGCCCCCCCCCCCCACAGCCCCTCCAGGAAGCAGGTGAGTACAACAGGAGACCTGCCCAGAGGAGTGGCGGGGCTTGGAGGAGCTGGGATAGGTTTGGGTCTTCGGAGGCTGAATGGTCTTTGGATCTTCAGCAAGCAGCTGAAGGACAACCATGACAGGGTTCTGCCCATCTGTGCCCCTGACCAGGAGGCCACTGGAAACTGTTTATTCCCTGAGCACCCCTGTCCTTGAGGAAGCCAGAGGAGGGTCCCCATGGCCCTCTCCACTCCTCAGAGGGTTCTGCCACCAGAACAGGAAGTTGACCCTCTTCGTGGAATGTGGAAGAAAGGGGCCCATCTTGCTGGTCTGCCGGTCTGGCCCCAAACCCCGCTGGGGAGCAAAGCCTTTGGCACTGGGAGAGCATGGAAAGTTCCCCGCAGGCTGCCTGTGCCCGGGCTGGGTGCAGGAGGAGGAGGCAGAGCAGAACCCCCAGAGCTGCCCTCCTCTCCTGCTTCCCCCCTGCACCTGCCCGGGTGGACATGCAGGAGGGCCCAGAGCTCCCTCACACCCACTCTCAGTGCACCCCGCCTTCTCAGGCACCCTCCCATGCAGTCAGCACCCTGAGCCGGCCGGGAAGACCCCAAAACCAAGAGACCAGGGATGGTCATTTCATTGTGTGAGCTGCCACTTTCCAGCCAGGCCAGCGGCTCTGTTGACCACATGTCACCCGAGGCAGATACTGGTTAGATTTCTCACAGGGACATGGGGCCCCACAGGTAGAGCTGGCCTGGCCCCCAAACCCTGAATTAGAGAGGGGCAGCTCTTCCCAGGGGACTGCCGTCAAAGCCCTGGTTGGTTGGAGATTGTTATCCACTCCCCACCCCCACCCCACCCCCAGGGGGACAGGGACCTGCACTTGGGCACAGCGGGGCACTCCCTCCTGCGTTCCTGATGTGAGCTCAAAGGTCGCTGCCGGTTGGAAGGAGGAAATAAGCCTCGTGTCTTTCCTGGGGGTTCCACCTGACCCTCCGATCTGAGAGGCAGGAGCAGCAGTTGGAACAGGTTTCAGAGAGTGGGGTGGTCCCACCTTGGCAGGTGAAAGGAAATGAGAAGTCACCGGGCCTGGGTCCCGCTCTGAGCAGCGCCGGCTCCCTGGGTGACGCTGAGCAGGCTGCATGATGCTCTGAGCCTCAGTATTCTCACCTGTAAAATGGGGATAGCCCCTGCCCTGTTTTTGCAAAAATGGAAAATAGGGAAGGCAGGACTAGGCTCTTTGCAATGTGGTTCTCACCCACCCAGGCCAAACGGTGTTAGTGCACATGTGATATGGAGTGAATAAACTCGGCCAGAGTCCCAGCTAGGAGTACTCTGGCGCATCTCAAACTGGCAGGGTGGGGTCACCTCACGGTGAGCATTATGAAATAGGGAGGGGTCTCTGTCTAGTTCGTTCCCAGGCACGGGGCATGGGCCCCACAGCCCTCGCCTGCAGCTTGTAGGGCTGCAGAACCCCTGGCTGCCAATCATCGTGTCAGCGCATCCCGAAAGCGTCAGACATACAAGGTCTCTTCCTCGGGGAGCTCCCGTGGGGTGAGAGGCAGACAGCAATCCGCATTCTCACTAACGAATACAGCAACAGGTCTGGGCAAGGATGGGAAGAAAGGCAACTTCTCTGCATGGGAACTTGCACAGAAACTGTCGCAGAAGCGGGGGGGGGGGGGGGGGGGGCGCCTTTTGAGGATAGGTGCTGGCTGGATGGACCAAAGGTTCTGGCGAGGAGGAAGTGAGAGTGCAGGGCAGAGGGTGAGGGCACCAGAGGTCAGCGCCTGTGTGAGCAGGTGCCAGACCTCAGAGCCGGGCAGGCCCTCTGAAGGCTTTTGGTCTTTATCTGAAGAACAATTAGAAGCTATTGGAGATGTGAACAGGATGATAACAGTGATGATGACCAGGTCAAGGCCACGTGGGGAGCACGTCCTTCTCTCGTTAAAAAGGACACGCTCAGTAGCCAGTGGGGAAGAGCATAGGCCAAGACCCAGCTGTGTGGTTTGCATCCAGTTTTATTCCTTACTAGCTGTGTGACCTGGAGCAAGTTACTCCACTTCTCTGTGCCCTGGTTTCCAAATCAGCGAGACGGAAAAGGAGCTGATAATGACTCCTGGGACAGAGACAATGTTAGTAACAGCATGCAGCTCACAGGGATACTGCCCACAGCACCCTACCATGCTGGGTAGGTAAACCTCCATCACGACGCCAGCGGCTGGCGAGTTCTTCCAGAGGAAGACCTCTCTGAGGCATGTGTCCATTGTTAAGAGAGTGGATGGCATTAAGATTTTCAGTAGATCTGAGAGCTGCCCCTAACCACTGGGCTCTGTCTAGGTGCAAAGGGCCTTCCAAAATTGTGAGATCCACTGCATTGTCCACAGAACACAATCATGCAAACATCACTTTCACCTTTTCAGTCCCCAAACTCCGTGTTCCATGGAACCCTCAAAGCCAGAGGCCCATTGATCTCTCCTCCCTCAGACCCTCCATCCCTTGCGGTGTCTGGGACTGGCTTAGTGTTACAGGTTAATGTGAGCTGGGCCCCCCGCCATTCAGGAGCCTGCTCCCTTATGGGAGCTGCCCACCACCCGCTGGATGGCCCTGGGCAAGTCCTTTTACTTCCCTTTAGGCAGGAGATGGTCTGAGAACTTTCACAGGAGGCTTTCTAGGAACTAAGTTCTGAAGCTAAAAGATACTCCTGATACCAGCACCTCTCAATCCCCTCACGCTGTGACCTTTGGCCGGGGCGTAATCTCCACCACAGTCCTGATTGACGGCAGTTTGTGACTGGCTCTGCCAGTTCCGCTGTCCTCAGTGGAGAAGAATCATGGGACGGGGAGGGGGGGTTCCTTTACTCAGAACATAAGTGAGGACAGGGCAGGGCATGGGCCCCACAGCCCTCGCCTGCAGCTTGTAGGGCTACAGCACCCCTGGCTGCCAATCATCGTGTCAGCGCATCCCGAAAGATTTGTGTGCGTAGTGTTCCACCTGCTGGCACTTCCTGTAGATTCCCAGGGGATGACTCTTGTCCTTTGTTATTTATTTTAATTATTGTATTTTTTTAATCCTCACCCAAGAACATGCTTTCATAGATTTTAAGGAGAGACAGGGAGAGGGAAAGAAACATTGATGTGAGAGAGAAACACCCATTGGCTACCTTCTGCACGAACCTTGTCTGGGGATCAAACCCAAAACCTTTAGGTACATGGGCCAATGCTTCAACCAACGGAGCCACACCAGCCAGGGCAAGACTCTTATCCTTTTATAAGAGGGGGTAAGGTTACACTCCCCACAAACACACACACTCACACCATACACATATGTCAGCACTTTCTTCCTCCACACCACACACACCCTCATGGGACACCCCCATATTCCCTACATACACCTCAGGAACACATGCACACTCCCACAAACACACACCCTCAGGTGACACACCCCTATTTCCCATATACACCTCAGGAACATATGCACGCACCCGCAAACACACACACACACCCTCATGCGCACCTACCTCTCTCATTGCCCACACACATCCACACACCCCCACTCTGGGCACAGATCCACTCTCCCCTCACACCCATAGTCACACCTACCCCTACATACACATCAACACCCCCCACGCTGCACACGATCCCTCCTCCACTGCCCACACATACACACCAACACACCCCCACATAAAAACCTCACACCACATCAACCCTATTTACACACACACACACACACACACAGCTCCTCACCCCTGCCACACACATGCCAAACACAAACCCACACAAACACACCATCCCAGCAGCCAAAGCTGAGCGGCGTGGTGGGCTCCGAGCCCTGGGCTGTGAGGGAGGCTTGCTCCCTGCCGGGACTCTTCCCCCACCGCAAGGAGGGGCCGGGGCCGGGGCTGCTGCCAAGTCTGCCCAGAGGAGAGCCGGGTGAAAGGCCTGCGTGCTGGGGCTGCAGGGCCCAATGTCTCCCCAGAGGGAGAGATAAAGCAGGTATGCAACACCTCCCAAAGTACACAGAAAGTGGAAAGTGCGTGCCCCAAGATAAGCACGGTCTTGCACCGGCTCTGAGAGCCTGGCCAGGAAGACAGCCTCCTGCCAGGTAGGGAGGGGCCACCTGGGGCTACAGGGGCCTGGCCAGGTCCTGAGGTGACAGGCAGAGAGGGGTCTGGGGGTCCTGAGGTGACAGGCAGAGGGGAGTCTGGGGGTCCTGAGGTGACAGGCAGAGGGGGGTCTGGGGGTCCTGAGGTGACAGGCAGAGGGGGTTCTGGGGGTCCTGAGGTGACAGGCAGAGGGGGGTCTGGGGGTCCTGAGGTGACAGGCAGAGGGGGGTCTGGGGGTCCTGAGGTGACAGGCAGAGGGGGGTCTGGGGGTCCTGAGGTGACAGGCAGAGGTGGTGTCTGGGCCAATGACGAAGGGGAAGACTTCGAGTGTCCTGGGAGAGTGAGCAAGCGTGACTGGGGTTGGTGGACGAGATGCGGATCCTGACGCTGGGAAAGCAAGGAGGAGCCTTTGCTAATGTGAGGGGCTGGAGAGGGACGGGGCTAGGCTTTGGCGGAGGGAGAGTAGCTTGGTGTCCAGTGCAGAACAGGCTGGAGAGGAGAGGCAGGCAGAGAGGGAGGCCCTGGGAAGCTCAGATGGCAGGTGAGGGAGTGGCCTGAAGGGATGGCGTGGGAAAGAGAGGGAGCGCAGGGACAGTGTGAGCAGAGGACAGATAGGACCCGCAGGCGGGCAACAGTGCCCTCAAGGCTGCAGACAGCATCGCAGCCCGCAGATGAAGGGGTCAGGAGAAGGTGCAAGTTTGGTTAAAATGCGTTTTCCTTGGCATATGCGGAGTTGGAAATGGAAGCGGTATTTGTGAACAGAACTACCTAATTGGCATTGAGTTTAAAATCAATGCCAATTAGGTAGTTCTGTTCACAAAAAAATTGCACAGATTTTAAACTCAGGAGGGAGATGAGGGCTGGGGATGGACGTTGGGGCTGCAGCCATGGATGAAGATGAGATGGTAGAGGGTGAGGAGGAGAGAGAAACAGGAAGAAAATGTGTTGCGGGAAGTAGGGGTGGAAGGCAGGAACCCTGAGATTCCCCGGGAGAGGCACATTATCTCGGCTCACCTTATCAACCACACTGAGAGGAAAGTTATCGTCCCCTTTACAGATAAGCTAAGAAGGAGCACAGAGGCCAAATATCGCATCCAACACAATGGACCCTGTGAGTCATGGAGCAGATTGTGAACCCAGGTGCATCAAAAAATAAATAATCCCCAGACAGCATAGCAGAGGCCTAGCTTGCTTATCAGACAGGCCCACCTGCACACACAGCCCGGCCACATGGTCAGCCCACATGGAGCTCAGCCCACTCTTTCCGCACGCGGGTTGGCAAGCTGGCCTTCTATGTCTTCTGTGCCTGTGGGTAGGGTGGGTTTTATTGGGACACAGTTGGGGTCCTCGGCTCCTGTGTGGCTGCTTTATGCTGTAACGACAGAGTTGAGGAGACTGTTTGCCTGTAGACACTTACTACTTAGCCTTTTTCAGAGATCCTTGGCTGCCCTGAACTAGCCATGGCTGCCTCCCACAAGAGCCGAGGTCAGAACCCTGAGCCAGGTTTGCTTTTGGAACGAAAGAAGGCAGGTGGGGGGCCCAGAGAGAATTCCCAGGAGTAATAAAGGGACAAGAGGGGGAGGGTGGCAAAGAGGATGAAGGAAGACGCGAGACCAAGATGGGGGTACTGACCACCCCACGCCTCCAAGCTGTCGGGAAGGGCGTGTCCTGAGGAAAGGTAGTTGGACTTGGCAATGAGACTTTACCGGTAGAAGGTGGGACAAAAATGAGAGCACCTGCTCAGGTGTCTAAGGACTGAGTGCAGATAAGTCTTCAAATATTTGGTGATGAAATGGTGGGGGCCAGGCCATGGCGGCACAGCGGTTCGAAGCGTGCGTTTTCCAAAGGAAGAGACACAGAAGACTGGGCAGGATGCTAGATGGAGGAGAGGAGCCGATGGAGAGGAAAAGAGGGCGTTAAAGTTACAAAGAAAAACAGGGGCGCGTCTGGCCACGTCCAAGGTAGAGGTGGGGGCAGGATTCAGAACCCAGAGAGAGAGATCAGCTTTGCCTGAAAGGAATCGGTGGGGGAGGGAGCTAAGATTTGGTGAGCACCTCAACATTTATTGGGCCACTTTCTCCATTTTTATCACCTTATTCGATGCTCACAGCTCTTGAGAGCCCAGCACAAATCCCCATGACACAGGTGGGAACTGAGTATCAGTAAGGTGGCTCATCTGGCCCGTGAAACAGTGCTGTTGGAGGGCAGCTGCAGAGGGGCCGGGGAGAGCTGACGCTGCGCACAGGCCGGCTTCACACACACAGGCCGGGAAGGATGCACTTGGGTCCCAGGCTGATCAGTTTTGTGTTCCTTCCTCAGCACAGGTCCCCTCGGATGGAGACGCCTCCGAGCACAAAGGTGCCCCTCTTTGCGGCTCGTCGTGTGCCAGGGTGTGGGGAGAGCCAGAGGCTGCTCAGAGAAGCTTTTCACCAGGATGCCCCGTGAACGGCCACGATGCCAGGTTCCGTCCAGACTCCGGCGCCCTGTGCCAGGCTACTGACTCCCCTGCCATACCCCACCTGCCTCAGATGGGCCTGGCAGCCTTCAGTTCTCCCACTGGAGCTGCCATGGCAGTAACCCTGCTGAGGACTTAGACACCCACAGAGAAGTCCCGTCCCCGCTGCTCCTCCGGCCAATGTCCTGCTAAAGACTAGTCATTGGAACCAAGCACCGATGTCCATCCACATGGGATCCCACGAGCATCACACTGCACCCTGCACTCCTCCTCGACTCTGACCGCTGAGCCAGAGGGCTCTGCTCATCCATCTCTTGGTCCCAACCAGTTGGCACGGGCAGCAGATGTCAGCCCGCTGCTTGTAGAGGCAAATGCACAACCATTGCTGGGTGAGGGGCCATGCCTCACAGTGCTGGACGCTGGGTGCTATGACTGTCCCACCCACATGCACAGCCCGGCCACACGGTCAGCCCACGTGCAGGTCAGCCCTCGGGGCACGTTCTGATAAGCAAGCTTGGCCTCCACTCTGCTGTCCCGGGATTATTTATTTCTTGATCCCAAGAGCAGGACTTTATTTTTATCTTAATTCAATTTCGTCTAAGTCAGAGGCAGCCCAACCTCAGCAGCCTGGGGCCCGCCCTCCGGAAGCTGATGGGCTGTGCTCCCCTCCCCTCTTGCTCCACCCGCTCTGTAATTTATGTTTCCCGGCCCACTTTTGTACCTTTTATTTATATTTCACCCGGAAAGTGTCTGTGTTTCCTATAAGCTGCCTCAGCCCATGTATGGTCTGATCTGAATAAAGACATTGACGTGGCCATTTTGGTAAAACACGAGATGACAGGTTTTCCATCCGAGTGGCCTCCTTACGAGGCTCCATGCCAGCCCTGTCTCTCTCTCCCCAGTAGCTTTGCCGCCTCTGTGCAGGCTTTGGAGGCTGCTCTCGGCACAGCACCTCCTGGAAGGCATGCCTGGCGTGATGGAGACGGGTTATTCTGATCCCCTGGAATCTTCTGGAAGCTCTGTGCTCAGCCATCGCCTGGCTCCTCATAATCAGGCTAGTCTCAAAGCACAGTGCCTGGCCCATATTTGAACCTCAATAAGTATTTGTTCAGTGAGTGAGTAATTAAAAAAAAAAAATGGGGATTAGGCTGGTCTCAAACACCTGAAGAGATATCGTGAAAGAACATTCTAGATACGACATTAAGGAAAAGGAAGATTAGGTCCCGCCTGGACCCTCTTTCCTTGTTGATTTCCCCAGTGAACTATTCTCCGTGGGTCCCACTGCGCATGCGCAGGGAGGAAGCAATCCCTCTCCCGCTCTGCGTTGCCTGGAGGAAAAGTCATCTATACCCAGTCCCTCTCGCGGTTCCTTAGGAAGACACTGGTGTCCGAGGCCACATACCTTCTTTTCACGAGACCCATCCAGTTGTTTTTTCATTCTAGAAACGGAACGCGTCTGTTTCCTTGCTGGGAACAAATGCAATATAGTTGGCTTTCATTTTGCAGCAGCCACATTGTTCAAAATACGCAAATCCTGGAGAAGGAGGGTCGCACTTAGTCTGAGCGTATGTTCCCATCTGCGAGGCTGGGGAACTGAGCTGAACTGAGCAGTGGCTGCAGATCCCGACCCCCCACATCACACTCCCCCCAGGGACTCTCAGGTTCCTTACATCTCCCTCTCCTTCAGCCCGCTGTCAGCGTGCAATCTAAATGCAAGTGGGGTGGTTCTCTGTCTAGTGCGCTTGTCCAGCGCCTGAACTATCTCCCAGGTCACAGGGCACGCTTCTGCAGGGTGGGCACCTCCCGCGGCTGCCAAAATGGGTGCTGAGTACAGCTGTGCTAATGGAAGCAGGAGGGAGACTGAACTCAGTGCCCTTGGAAAACAAGAGAGGTCTACACAAGAGGGCTCCCTGCAATTTATCTTCAACCTTCTGGGCACCCTGATTAAGGGCTAGCACTGAGAAGACACACTTAGGCTATGTGTTGGGAACCGGAGGCATTCCCTCTGGGACCTGCCTTGGTCTGCAACTGACTGGCTGCCAGAGCGATGCCCAGGGACCCCGATGGCACAGACTGAGGCCACGAGTACTGGACTCACTCACTCTTAGAGACCGTGAGAGCGGCGCTACTCACACTGTGTGCAGACCACCTGGGTGTCCTGCTGAATGCTGCTTCTGACTCAGTAAGTCTGGGGAGGGCCTGAGACTCTGCATTTCTGATAAGCTGCTAGATGGCACCACTGCTCCTAGTCCAGGACATTTAGAAGACCGAGGATAGTAAGCAACCTGTCTTTCAGAGATGGGGAAACCGAAGCCAGTGATGAAGTGACCTTTCCACGTTCCAGCAGCTGAAAAGCAGCAGGTCCAGGGCTGGGGCCCAGGTCTCCACGCTGCCAGGCAAGTCCTCTTTCCCATCCATAAGCTGCTGATTGGCCTCCCTGGAGCCCTGCTGAGCCTCGAGCAGAGGGAGGTGATGCACGCTCATGCGGCAGATGAGTCATGAACCATCATGCCTCAGGCCTCAGCCTGGCTGTGCCGTGTGCCTGGGAATGCGCTCCTGACCAACCTACACGCTCCTCTGTGTCACGTTGGATGCCAGAGCCGTGAGGGCATGAATGCCCGTCACACAGGCAAGGCAGGTGCAGAGGGAGGAGGACACATCTCCCCTGGGCAGGCTATAAGCAGCTGAGCCAGAGCAGATCTGGACTTGTCCTCCCAGACAGTTGTCCCGGGGGCTTAGCCCCGGGAGCCTCCGATGCCTCTCCAGGGCCACCTCTGGGACCCCCATCCTACCTGGTCCTTGGAAGGCACTGGGGTTTTTTAGTGCCCAACCTCTGTCAACTCTGCCACTTCCAGGCAAAGCGACCTTCTAGGTGGGCCTTGCATTAGAGCAGTGTTTCTCAAACTTCTCTCATGATGAGAATCACCTGGTGGAGTTGTTAAAATACAGATTCCTGAATCCCAACTAAGAAGTGCTAAACTAGAATTTTTGGGAACATATAGGTAAAATTGTATACTTAACTAGTGCTCTTAGAGGTAAAATTGTATACTTAACTAGTGCACTTAAAGGTAAAATTTAACCATTTTACCTATATGTTCCCAAAAATTCTAGTTTAGCACTTCTTAGTTGGGATTCAGGAATCTGTATTTTAACAACTCCACCAGGTGATTCTCATCATGAGAAGTTTGGGAAACACTGCATTAGAGGGTCGCAGCACAGTCCTCCCCATCGCAAGGGCCAGTGGATTCGGCACGGCAGTCTCAGACCCCCCGGCCTCCTACATGGGCACATCCCTCACAGCGGCTGGTTCTCCTTTGCAGAGATCAAAACACAGAGCTGAACACTTAGGTCCTCCCTTCAGACTCCTAATGACCCAGGACCGTAGACCTTTGTCCTCTACGGCTATTGAAAGTCATTCCCACGGTTTACCACAGAGGTGACCAAGAGGCACCCACAAACCCAAGGGAAGGTGGGCATTCGGGAGGAGGAGGAGTCCAGCCAGGCCCTGCGGCCCACTCCCAATCAGTAGAGCCTTAGAGCCTTTAGAATTCATTTCTCGGTGAAATTTGAGTGGGTGGGGAAGAAGGGGCCCATCCTGGCTGAGTCCATCACTGCTGAGGTCGGCCCAGAAACACATTTGCATGCGGGACCCAAGAGCCTTCTGGGTAAAAACCAACACGAAGGGAACTGGGAATCAGACAGACAGGTTTGGCCTGGTAACCGAGACAACACCATATGTTCAGCTTCTTCCATCTTATAACAACCCCATCTGCTCTCAGGGAAGAAGGGCTATAGGAAGGATTAGGCGGCTTTTTGGAAAAAATCTGTATGTGGTACTGGGGGGTCCTCATTTCAACACTTGGAAGCATCCCGAGTCAAGTTGGGTTGTATTAGATCCTGGTAGACAGAATGATATTGGCAGGAGAGAGAATAAAATAGTAAATCACTCCTTGTCAGGGATATTGGGATAACAGGTTCAGACTGTTAGAGACTAAATACAGTTATACCCTGTGTTATATGGGGGGGTGGGGAGGAGGGCGGAGGGGAAAGGCAAAAATATCGCTCAGTGTCTGGTGTGCAGGGAGCTGGCAGTCACCCTGAACAGCGGCGGGAGAGGCCAGCCCTGGGAACACCCCTGGCATCTCAGCATCAAGCCGCGTGGCTTTGACATGAGTCTGCGAGCCTCTGAGCATCATGGCAAATACCGGTGCCTGCTTAGCAAGATGCGCCCTCAGGCAGGGGTCGGCAAACTCATTAGTCAACAGAGCCAAATATCAACAGCACAACGATTGAAATTTCTTTGGAGAGCCAAATTTTTTCAACTTAAAACTTCTTCTAATGCCACCTCTTCAAAATAGACTCACCCAAGCCGTGGCATTTTGTGGAAGAGCCACACTCAAGGGGCCAAAGAGCAGCTTGTGGCTCGCGAGCTGCAGTTTGCCCATCACGGCCCTAAGGTATTGGAGAAGCTGAGCGGGCGCATAGGAGAGTGATGCTCAGCATAAAACGGAACGGAATTAGGTGCTTCCATTGTGCATGCATTGCATTTTGGGTGTGGGCCACTGAAACATTTTTTTCTGTAAGTTCATGGTAATCGCATCTTCACGTAACGACGTCTAGTTGAAGAGAGGTTCTACAGGAACGCTGTTTCCTGTCCCAGCCTGGGAAGGCCAGGCTCACTGGGTGAGAGTGTTGTCCCTGGCCAAGACCTTCTCAGCAGTCTCATGGTCTCCTTCCTCCCTCCATTGCTTTCTTCAACAAACACTCGTCTACGGCCTCAGACTCCCCAATCCCAGACACTGCCCCTGTTGCGGGTCCTGAGTGTTTGCAGCTGGTAACTTTCAGGCAAGTCTGGGGTTCTACCCTAGACCTACCCGGTGGATGAGAGGTTCCAGTGGGGAGATGGGGGGGGGAGGGGAGGAATTTAGTGGTGCTCAAGGGACTCAGAGGCACCGGTCCGCGATCTGAAACTACCAGAAGGACCTTTCAGCTGAACCTGTGCTTGGACGCTGCCCTCTGGGTGACCCTCTCTTACCATCTCCCAGGGGCAGGGAGTCTGGCTGCGCAGCCCCAGGCGGCTCTGTCAGCTGTGAGGAACCCTGCGTGCTGCTAGCCCACACTGTCCCATCACCTCAGGCAGTGACCCTGCCAGCATGGGGGGTGGAGTTTGGGAGGGAAGCACATTGCCTTCCCTCCTATCTCACCCGCACTTCCTCATCAAGAAAACCAAGGTTGCCATTGTTTAGGGAGGCAGTCAGGAGGCTGTCAGAGCTGGTATAGGAAAAGGGGGAAGGAGCCAGGGGAGCCCGGGGCGGGGGCATTGAGGGGTGAGATGGTGGGGGATGTGGTGATGGTGACAGGAACAGCACTGAAGTGAGAACCTGAGGTGGGAGAATGAGGGACATGTGTGGCCCCTGGACCAGCGGCAGGGGCAGAACCACGTGGGGCCGTGTTAGACGTGAACATCCATGGTCTCAGCCCTAACCTTCAGAACCAGAGCCTCGGAAAGCTGAGCCCATTGGTGTGCTTACAAGCTCCCCCGGGGATTCTGGGGTGCGGGTCATTGGAGACCCACTGGGCTGAAAAGCTGTTGTTTTAAGCAGGCACGCTGCCCTCAATGTGTTTGGAATTCTGCCTTGGGCATAGGGATCCAGAAGAGAGCAGCTGGGATCTCTAGTGTGACTCTCACACAGACTGCCGCTTGCTCTTGACCTGAGTCAGGAGGAAATGACTGTCACCTCTGTTCTCTCCTCTGTCACCCACCTGGGCCATGGGCACTGCAGCTGCTGGCAACTCTGGGCCATGGGCACCTTCTGCTGGGAGGACTGTGAGGCTGGAAAGAAACGTAAGGAGCCTCTGACCCGTGTTCCTCCCCAACTGATTCCACATGGAGATGCTCCTCTATTATTTTTCTATCGAACATCCCTTATCCTGGAATATGTTCCTGCCAAAGAGACTAATCATTAAGGAATAACTAATTCATTTCCCCATCATTTATTCATCAAACACATCCATAACTGGGCAGGCAACAAGCAGAAACGGATGGAGCATGACTTCCATTAGAGTTTCGAAACTTTTAGAACAATCCATTACTACGGCCACGGCCCCAGGGACCTGGGAGGACCAAGTGGAAGGAGCCGGTGGAGCTCTCAGCCCCGTGGGAACAGAGGGGAGGGACGTGGTCAAACAATGGCCAACATGCTCGCAGGCTCTTGCCACGCTCCCCCACCTCAGCCCACTCAGGACTCCGCCCCTTCCACAGTCCCCCTCCTCCCTCTCTCCCACCCTCCGTTCCTGGGGTCCCCAGAGGCAATCCCTAGGCCAGGACTAGAGCAGGCGACTGCTGCCGCTCCTCCAGCTGCTGCTCCCCCGGCATGTCTGTTCCTGCAGACCCCCCTCCTCTGCTCGCAAACACTAGAGTGTGTCTTCAGTCCTCGCCCCTGAATGCGCCAGAGCCCCTGAGAGGCCTGGCGAATGGGGATCTGTGGCCGGGTGGGCAGTGAGCCCCGATTCCCCCACAGCATCCTGGAAGGCACG